AGCCCTCCCCCCCCCCCCACCACCCTGGGGTGAAGTAGCCTGTCCCAAGGCTGTGAAAGACCATGAGGACCGGAACCCAGACTTCATGTCCCCCAAAGCTGGCCTCTTTCTACTCTGTGTTTGAAACATGTTATAGACTTGAAACTACTTGGGAAAGAATCTGAATATGTACTGTTGAAGGTTTGGAAGTACGTTTTAGTGGAGATTGGAAGGAAGAACAGAAGGAAACGTGGACAGAAGGACAGATGGATGGAAAGAAGGAGGGAAGGAAGGGAGGGAGGAAACAAAATGTGTAACTAACAGGAAATACCCAGATTCTTCTTTGGGAGGAAAACGAAGCTGTGGGAGGCCGTCCAGCCCTCTATTAACCGCCCGCCGTTTACTGGAGACCCCTCCTCCCTCCTGTGCATCAGCGCCCCTGAGGCGGGATCCCCACTCAACCCGCCAGCCCAGCCCCCAGCCGGAGCACCCCAGAGCTCCAGGGGCGGCGGCACAGGAAGGGTCCAGACCCCCGCCCCAGTCCCGCCGCAGGGCGTTGGACACTGACCATGACGATCTCCAGCACTTCGTTCTTGCTGATGGCTCCGTTGCCGTCCACGTCGTAGAGGGAGAAGGCCCACTCCAGCTTCTGGTTGGTCTTGCCCGCGGAGGTCATGTGCAGGGCGATGACGTACTCCTTGAAGTCCAGGGTGCCGTCGCTGTTGGCGTCGAAGCTTCGGAACACATGCTGGGCGTACGCCTTGGGGTCGGCTTCGGGGAAGAACTTGGCGTAGATGCTCTGGAAGTCCTGTCGGGTGATGCGGCCGCTGGGACAGTCCTTCAGGAAGGACTGGTACCAGGCACACAGCTCCTCCTCTGTGAACTTGGTGTTCAGCTGCAGCTCCTCCAGGATCTCCTTGGACAGGGCCCCACTTTTGCTGTTCCCCATGGGTGAGGCCGGGCGGTCTCCTGGCTGCAGGGCCGGGTGCTGCTGGAGGCGGATGAGAAGGTGCTGGCGGATTAGAGGCTGTGTGGCGGGTTCACCCCAGTACTTGGAGGGAGGAGGGGCCGGGATCGGGGTGGGGGCAGGGCGCAAGCTCCAAGACCCCCCCTGAGATTAAAATAAAGAGCTGACGGCAGGTGGCCAATCCATCTTGGCCTTCTAGGAGGACAGGGCAGGAGGTCAGAAGCTTCAGAGCCAAAGCCTTGGCCTTTCCTGCTGCCCCTTGTCTGTCCCTCCTCCTCCTCTTCGACTCCAGCTCTCTGGAAGCCAGGGGGCTCATGGCCTGTCTTCCCCCCAAACTCTGAAGGTCCCAGGGACAGGAGTGGCATCTTGCATTGATCCCTATACCCCAACCCTTAAAAGCCAGGCTCTGGAGCCAGCCCTGGTTCAAATCCCAGCTTTGCAACTTACTAGCTGTGTGACCCTAAGTGTGTTTCTTAACCTCTCTGTGCCTACAGTGCTCCTCAAATCCTTCACCTCCTTCAGGGATCTCTTCAAATGTCACCTTCTCAGCAAGGCCTGGACTATTTACAAAAACACACCCCACCACCAGCCATCTGCAGGCCCCAAACCCTGCTTTATCCCCTTCCCCACCTCGCAGGTACACCTCCTGACTCACTTTTAATTATCCCGCGTGCTGTCTATGCCTGCACTAGAACAAAAGCTCCGTGAAGGCAGGGATTCTGTCTGTTTTGTTCCGAGCTGCATCGCCATTGCCCAGATGGTGACTGGCAGGTTTGGGCTCTCGGTGAATATTCCTTGAGTAAAGAGATATAAAAACAGTATCTATCTCATTGTTATTCTGAGGCTAAAATGAGTTAATGCATGCAATGCACTTGGAGCCTGGTACACAGTCAGTGCGAAATACATGTTACTTGTTACTATTCATCTGCAACAGGGATCAAAACCTAGACTGCCTTCAGGGGCCGGCAGGTGGAGCAAGTGAGTGAAGCAGGTGAATCAGGGACAAGACAGGTGGTGAGGCCTGTATCACACACAGAAGGGACTGCCTGTGTTCAAAGCCATGTGAATGTGCTCAGCCGGGATGGTGGCCCAGTGTTACCAGATTTTTCAGTTCTGACCCTTGAGGTTCCAGAGGATTTCTCAGGAGGCCTTAATGCTAGGGGTGTTTCTGTGCGTCTCTGTGTTTACTTACTATTTTTTCCCCTCAGTTTGTGAGCGCATATTATTTTGTCATGGAAGGCCTTTTACCCCTAGAACTTCACTATCCTGTAGGGAGGCATGTGTTCTCAAGAGCAGTTGGAAATAGGACAGTCACCCAACTCAAAAACGAACCAACCAACCAATCCACCCCAGCCCACGAAAGTGAGGCCACAGGCTTCACCCCTCGCCTTCAAGCCAGGTGGGGGAGGTTATTAGAAGTGCCTGCTGGTGCTGGGCCTGTCCACATAGGACCTGCAGATCAGGAGAGGCGACGTTACAGGGAGGAAATGGAGGCCCCGAAGGTGTGTAGTGTGCCTGGGTCACACATTGCTAAATGGCAAATCCAGAAAGCAAGCCCCGGTTCACCAAGTTCTCCATTCGGGTCTTTTTGTTATAGTACAACTACATCCATTCCCAAGGAGGCCTGAGTGAGGGGGCAAGAAACTCCATTTTTGCAGGAGCTGGGGTTGCGCTGCCAGTAGAAAGGTGCTGGGCAAGGGGACTGGGCCCCGGGTTAACACAGAAGGCAGCCGGAGTCCCCACAGGGCACTGGCCAAGGTCCCCACTTCTGCCCTGGCCAAGGTCAAGGAGGAAGGAGCCAGACCAGGTGGGAAGCAGCCTGGTACTTCGGATCCACATTCCTCAGGTTGTCGTACCCAGAAGGGCCCCCGTGGAGGGACCACAGGCAGCTGTGTTGATGCCGTTGGGAGAGGGGTCACGACCTGGGGCGTTTGTTTGAAAACCTGTATAAACATCTTCTATCAGAGGGAGAGTTTATGCGTATGCGTCTTAGCCAAACAAGTTGTTGGAGATGATGTATTGTGAATGGGGTTTGTTAAGTCTGAGCTGGGGCCATAAACTCTCCTCGAACCCTAGAGGGTGCTGGGGAGGAGGCCGGCCCCCCAGCCAGAGGACCTCCGTTTGTGCCTCCCCATCCCAGCCTTCCTCCATGGAGAGAAGCGATCTCTTCCCAGAGGCCAGCTCCGTCACTCCCGGAGCCAGGGGCTCTTTCTCGGCCGCTCACGGGGGCCCGGCCCCCAGCATGCACGCCCCCCTCGCCCACTCCCCTACCTTCCTCTGCTCCGAGTTGCAGGACAAGATGGTCTTCCCTAACTCGGCCTGGAGCTGGAGCCCGTACCCCAGTCCGCACTGGTGTGGGGGCAGGAGGTGTCTGGGCGGCCCTCTCACGGCTCTCCTGTTGCAGGAAACGGCAGTCCATCCTTCCGGCGGCCTGGGCTGAAGTCCTTAGGGTCGTCCTCAGCACCTCTCTGTCGCACCCCACCCCAGATCACGGGCATACCCAGCACACCCAGCCCGACCCCTTCCCTGACTTCCACGATACCACCACCTGCAGGCACCGTCAGTCACCCTTGACCCCAGCCCATAGCCTTGGAAGCAGGCCGTGTGCTCCTTGGCTCAGACCACCCCCCACCCTGGGCGTGAAAGCCCGAGTCTTTCAAGGACCAGCAAACACCCCTGCAGAATCTGGGACAGCTTATCGTCCCACCACACCACCCCCACCGGGGCCATCTCTTCTGCCTGGAACATTCCTTCCCCAGCTACTTGCTGGGACTCCCCCTCCGCCCCCCGCCTTCCCCACAGCCTGGGTCTCCTTCCCTTAGATCCAAGGCCACCTTCTCAATGAGTCTGCCCCAACTGCCCCCTTTAACACTGCAATGTACCCAGTGTCATCCTCACACCCCACCTTGTTCTTGCTCCCTAACACCTAGAACCTTCTACACCCACACTAGTTTTGTTATCACGTCAATGGTCTCCGTTTGGCTCTCCCTGCTGGCAAGCCAGGTCCATGGGGGCAGGGCTCCCTCGCCGACATGTTCCCATGACCTAAGGCGGTGCTTGGGATATAGTACGTGCTCAGTAATTGCTATAGTATGTGCTCAATAACTGCTGCATGAATGAATGGATCATGGATGGATGGGTGGAGGAGGGAAGAAACAAAAGCCAGGAACTACTTCTGTCCACAGGGACGTCAGGCACCAGGGAGGGGGCCGAGCACAGCCAAGTGTGCGGGTCTGGCAGCATGGAACCCATCGGGGGTGGGGGTCAGGGCCCAGGTGCCCTCTGCTAAGACATCAGGCATAAAATTATCACCAAGCCTGGGAGCCCCGTGGTTATGCTGAGGCCATTTATACAAAGGAGAGTGTGACAGCGGGCTCTGGGACAGAGGGTCACCCACAGGACCCAGTATCTCTGGACAGTTTATTTTACATGGGATGAATGTAAGCATCTCAAGTGTATACACAGAGCCAAAGAAGGGGGAAAAAAGAGCGCGAGAGAGCATGTAACTTCCTGAAAACGCTTTATAATAATGCAGAACAATTATATATAGCAAACGCCTTCAAAATTTAAACCCTTTAAACATTTAGTTCTTTAGCATTAATACACACAAATGCTATTACAGGGGGCGGGGGGGGGCGGCGGGGCGACCGGGGGGCAAGGGCGAGTTACAGCCTCCATAGGGATCAGAGTTCCAACAGTGTTACTTATAAATTATGGTACATCGATGTTATTTACTGATCTAGGCAGCCAGAGGAAGGAAGGATATACAATGTGGGGTAAACACATTCATACTAGGTTGAGCAATGCTGGCAGGAGACGCGGCTTTTTTAACATTAAAAATGTATAAAGTATTTAGCAAAAGTTACAGAAAACAGACCAAATAAGCAAGTTTATTTTGTTAGAAAATTCCACTGTCATGGGCTTTGCTGATGTGCTCATCTGTGCAAGGCGGCCCCCCCGGCCCCCGCCCCCATCTTCTCTTCCGAAGGGAAAGGAAGGGATGCAATTTGGGACACCCCCCCAACTCACCCCTCCCCCCCTGCCCCCCCCCCCGTCGCCAAGATGGCTGGCGTCCCTTTGTATGGACTTTGTAGGTCTATTCCTGGGTCCACATGGCTGCCTGGCGGTCACAGCTCCCAGGAGCCTGTCTGCTGCATGTGACGCTGGAAAGGGCATGTCCGCTGGACAGGTGAGTACAGAGGTCCCGGGAGGGAACGTGACTTAACTTCAGGTTGTAGCACAAATGCGGTGGCAGAGTGGGGACAGTGCAGTGCTCTTGCCCTGGCCCTATATGCTCTCCTTCTCTGTCCCCATGTCACACCGTCCCCATGACAGCACCCACGTGCCCAGACCTTTTGCACTCCACCACTGCAATCCTGCAAAGAACGTCTCTTAAACATCAAGGGTCAAAGTCCCCATCACCACCGGTCTCCCTCAGAGGCCTCTCCCAACAGAAAGGCTCCAGACAGAGCCACGCCCCCGGCATCTCAAGAGTAAAGGAAAAAAACGAAACCTCAGCTCTCATGGCTGGTCTTCCTCTCACCCAAACCTGCTGCAACAGGAATGGATCCTTCACCTTCAAGAATGACCAGACAAAAATAAATCTCCCGTGGGGGTGGGGAGCAGGGTGAGAGTCCTTCCTGGCAAATCTCGACCCAGAGGCACCCAGGAAGCATGGGACCCTGCAGACGTGGGCTCCAGGGCCAGCGCCTTCACCTGGCCTGGACCCAGGAACATCTTCCGTTTGTGGCGAGGGGTGCCTGGTTGCCTTCAAGGGCTCACCTTTCATCGATCTAAGTGAGACGTGGCTTGGGGGGAGTCATTACCCTCGGGGTCATGCCCATAGCGTGCCCAGTGTTAGGGGGGCTTGGTTCTATCTCTGTCACCACCGGCCACCACCCAGTGGGCTGCCGGCACACGCTTGGCTCGGTGCGACCGCCCCCTGAGCGAGGCTCCAGCAAGGACAGGAAGAAAAAGGCTCTGTCTTCATGCCCGTCCTGGCTCCTCGGAAGAAAACCCCAGGACACGCGACCAAGGATCCATGGACGAGACCCGGAAGGTAATGACTTCTGTCTGCTTCCTTCAGGGGCCCGGGAGGAACTACCTCATTCTCACTCCAGCTCAGGAAACTCTTTCACTTTAGCTCCACTTGTGTCTAAACAGGGAAGTGCTAGGGCATCGCTCTCGTGCAGAGTTCAGACCATGCACAACTGCGCCCATGGGGCCCGGGGCCGAGCACAACCCAGGGTCGGGTACAGAAGTGTAAACAAAATGGCGAGGAGAACGCGCAGTAGCTGCAGGAGGCTGGAGAGACCCGGACGGACAGACCCCTGCAGCCTGCCGACGAAGCAACGGAGACCCGGGGAGCGGCCGTGACGAGCCCAAGGCCAGCCCCGCGTTCTCACCCACACTTTGCCCGTTCACCTTCCACGCCCCCTAATGCTCAGTGCATCCCGAGGCTGTGGGGGAGTTGAAGCCAGGGCCCCCGGGAATCTAACAGCCAAGGTGCGCGCCTCAGGGTGCGGCTGAAGCGGGAGGCACCCCTCCCTCCCCCCTTTCTGCACAAAAGCCTCAAATGAACCCCCAAGAACCACCATGGGCACAGCTCGCATCTGAAGGAGGAGCCTCGGAAGGCAAAGGAAGCAGCCGTGCCAACAGGCTGGAGACCATCGGGCTGGGACCCCCCGGAGCAAATAACTCACTTCGAAGGCCAGAAAGCGGCCGTGGGTTCCCCCCTTGCAATGGAGCGCTACTCTGCGAGACAAAGGAGACACGCTAGTGACACACAGACAACGTGGGTGACCCAACGCATTAAGCGGAGAGAAAGAAGCCGCACCGAGGACCGCTCATCAGCAACTCGGTTTACCCGACATCTTAGAAAAGGCAAAAACCGTAGAGTCGGAAAATCTGTCAGTGGGAGTCGGGGGAAGGGGGACAGGAGCGGAGCGACCGTGGAGGGAGCCAGAGGGAATTTCCAGACAGTGATGGAAATACGTTAGTTTGGGTGGCAGTTTTAAGACTGTGCGTTTGTCAAGATTCACGGAACCAGGTGAATTTCACTGCATGTCAATGAATCCCAATACTGTTATGTCAAATACCTCTCAATAAACCTGAAAAAAAGACAAGGCAGTAAGTAGGTCTTGGAGGGGCGAGGGGCTTGATGGGAATATGCTGATCTGTCCCCTACTTCACACCTTTAAAGTGCTTTCCCTGTCTACACCACCACCAGCACAGCCCTACAGAGTCCTGCTTAAAAATTCCTTGTCAAGGCCACTCACGGCTGGAAGCGGAATCTCTTACACGAGCCAAAGTCTTTGATGTCCTTTGAAGTTTATGGCTTGTGTTTCCAAGGAGGGACTTTGGCTCGGCCGGGATCCTCAGGCACCCATCCACTCGTCCAGTGATTGACTGTCCTCACAAAGGGAACAGAAACCCCTGGTATGTGCACGCGCGTGGTGTTTTCTGTTTGCTCCGGTCCTTAACCAGCCCCGATGAGAAGGGCTTCCCGCTGCAGAAATCCTCCTGGCCCGACAGGCGGTGGGTGGAGGTAGAAAGGAGACCCGAGGCGGTCCTGACGGCAGCTACCCTATGGCTCGGTTAGCCGGCGCTTTCCAATACTGATGGAAAGTGATAGAAAAAAATGGAAGGAACAAGCCGTTTCTCTCAGAGACTCTTGTGGCAACTGACTTACTCTGAACACGATTTGTCTTACAGAGATTCCCCCACCCCCACCTGGTTTTCACAGACAAAACTATGTGTATCCGTGTCTCTTGGGAGGCAGGGGGAAGGGGTCACCTGTTCCAAGAAAGAGAACGATGGATTCGCTCAGGAACATCTCAGACAGACGCTGAATGAGCCCAGTCATCCCTCGGACAACCCGCACGCCGAAACGTACACAGGAACAAAACACAACAGCCACCACGGGACTGAGCACTACTCCAGAAGCGAGCTTTGGAATATTCTAGACTTCGTCCTAAGCTCCGTTTCCCCAGAGCAGGAGCCCCGTTAAAGGACCCCGCTCTTCATTCTCTGGGCTCACTGGCCAGACCTGAGCTTCATTAGTCCTCTTTGTGAAGCGAGGAGAGCTACTTAGAAGACACAAGAGAGATCTCTGAAATCCGAGTCGGGTATGGGCTGCAGGCTCTGGTGACCAGATTACACTCTTGTGACTGTCCACCTGTCCCCCAATGGCAAACGCCGCGTGGCGGTGGCTTGTGTTCTCATGACAGGCTCTAAGGGGGTTGACTGTGTAACAGGTGCAATGCTCTCGTTCTCCAGAAAGACCTAAAGAGCCCCTGTCTACGTGCAGAATAGAGCGGATGGGGAGAGAGCGCCATCTCACTTGCACCCATATGTCTAGCACCCTGCACCATGCCTGCTTCGCCCCAAGTATCTGCTCAATAAACAAACGGATGAGTGAATAAATGAACACAGATCTACCAGCATAACAGTATCTCAGGAAGCCTCAATTCTGCAGAGTACTGGTGTGTGAATGCCAAGGTCACCGACTTGTAAGACCCTCGGTGAAAAAAAAAATAAGTCTACAGAATCTCAAAGATCGTGGGCTTCTCTTGCCCTATCTTGTCCCCAGATCTCAGCACAATGCTCAGCCTTCACTAAATCAACAAACAGAGGAGGAGAGAAAAACAAAAAGCAAGGAAGAGTAAAGAAGTATGTACTAATGTGAGGGACGGGGTGGGCGGGAAGAATGATTCCAGAAAACAGACCGGCCCACATGGGGCCAAATCAGCCTCCCTGGTAAGAGGCAAGAGACCTCCCCCTGTCCTGGGGAGCAACAGAAGACTCAGGAATCCTCTGATGGGAAGGAGAAAACAAAATCAATGAGCCATACCACACTCAAAATATCTATGTTAATAACAAGGCCATTGGCTTTGAACATTTGAAAATCGCCCACAAATTAGTTTACTAAGCCGCAAAGCGATTACCGCTAGCACCCATTTTGAATAGAGAAACCAAGAAATAATACCCTAAAACTGGTCGCTGGGGTCATGGGCACCAACCCCAGATCTGGAAGCCATGGTCCTCTGTGCTGGGGACAGACCCGTCCTCACACTTCCGTGTCAGGGAAGTGTGACTTCACGCTGACTTTTCTGGGTTACAATGTTTCAAGAAGAAAAGTAAGTGACCAAGCTTGGCTCGCTCGAAGATAGTCAGCATCTTTCTACTATAAGCTATGGGACAGTAACTCTGAATCAGTGAAAGAGGTGTCGAAAGATTCAAGATGAGGAAGTCATCAGTTCCTGGCGTGCAGGACTGAGGGGCTAGGGAGTTGTGCTCTTGATCTTTTAGGGGTGTATGGGCCCTGCACGTCCAAAGTAATCGAAGGGAAGGATGAGCTAAGAAATATGGGCTCTCAGGGCATGGTTTCTGGGCTAGAATCTGCCCCCTGCTGGCCATGTGACCACGACTGCCTTCCAAGGCCATTGCTGGGTTCCCCTGGAGCCCATCGATTCTCAGAGTTTGATGGTACCCGATGTGTCTGCTATGTTTCCATAAAGGGGGAGGCCGATGTGCGAGGACCTCGTGGGCCAGGCTGAAAGCTTCCCAAGTCACACACCAACCCGGCCTTCCCAGGAGTCGGGGGGTGGCGAAAGGGGAAGGTGGTACCAGCACCAAGGAGGGCTCTGTGTGGGGCTCTGGTACGTGTAGACGCGGAGCGTCCAGAAGCCACGACCGGCCGCCATGCCCGCACCGTGCCCACCAGGGAGAGAAAGCCACATGGAGGATGGGGGGGGGGTTGGAGGGTCATCCCACCCCCACCCCCATCCTCAAGGAGCTGGAGACCCAGCCCATCTCCCATGGGGGACTGACCCAGCCCCACGAAAGCCTGGGATGGGGTGGGTGCTTCCTCCAGGAGACAACTGAGGGCTTGGCTTGGAGGGGGGTTTCCAGCCCAGGGTCGGGACAGAAGATGCCTGACCGATAATAAAACGCGACTCAACGCTCTGACTTGGGCTGATGTGCTGAATGAGGTAGTTCCGTCCTGACCTCTCCAGGCAGGGTCAGTCTGGGTAGAGAGGAGCCAGGCCTTAATCCCAAGGTCCCCAGATGATGGAAAGGGGGCAAAGGAGAGCCGGGATGTGGGCTCCCAGAATGCAACGGGGAAAAGAAAAATAAAGAGGGCGGGCTGCAAAAGGCTCTGGGTGCGGACTATTGAGCTGAACGGGGCCTTCCCTCCACGATTCTGATTCTCTTCCTGGGCTGGAGATGGGGACCCTTCTCCCATGACCCTCCAACGCCCGGGACACAGCTGGGGGAAGGGCCTTGGGGCTTCCGGGGGGACAAGCGTGCGACGCAGCTGGCTCTGGGTGGGGACTTGACCCCTACAGGGCGCAGCAGGGACCATAAAGTTCCAGCCTCGGTCTGTTCTCGGAGCAGCAAGCACAGCACGGGAATCGGGGGGCTTCAGCCTAGGAGACAAGGGCAGGGCTGCGGACCCGCCTTCCTGGCCTGGGGACACTCGCAGCTCCCGGCGGGGCCGCCTTTCTGGAATCACCAGCTCAGCGGACCAGGACAGTGGGCAGAGGACAGCTGCAACTCAGCTCTCCATGGGACCCCCCGGCCCCTCTCCTCGGCAGGACCCCCAGGGCCGTGCGCGCCCGTCTAAATCTCCATGTCCACGGGGCGGATGTTGCCCGTCTTGTGCTCTCTGACCCACAGCTCCCTGTCTTTGGCTGGGTCCACTTTCCGAAGCAGTTGGTCCACAGGCTCAACTGTCTGCAAGGGACAGAGAAGGGGACGTGGTCAGAGGCGGCAGCTGGGGACGGCGCCATTGAGCCACTGGCCTTCGGAGCAGTCGTGGGGGCCCCTTGGGAGGGACAGCTGTGAGCAGGGCTGCACGAGCAGAGAGCCCCGGGCCTCCGTCCCCCGTCTGCCCTCCAGCCCACAGGCCTGCGTGACCAGGCAGGGTGGCCCACGTGGGCCAGGACCACCTCCTCCATCTGTCCCCACCTTAGCCATCCAAGAACATGGCAGGTAAAACTTCAGCTTTAGAGATTTTTGAATACGTCTGGGTTATTTGTTATTTTGGGGGTGAGGGAGCGGGTGATAAGAAATTTGCTGGGGGAGGGGCGCCTGGGTGGCTCTGTCGGTTAAGTGCCCGACTCTTGATTTCAGTTCAGATCAGGATCTCACGGTTCGTGGGTTCGAGCCCCATGTTGGGCTCTGCACTGACAGTGCAGAGCCTGCTTGGGATTCTCTCTCTGCCTCTCTCTCTCTCAAAATAAATAAAGTTGGCCCACAGGGTGGCCCAGTCGGTTAAGCGTCCGACTTTGGCGCAGGTCATGATCTCACAGTTCATGGGTTCGAGCCTCTCGTCGACTCTGTGCTGACAGCTCAGAGCCTGGAGCCTGCTTCAGATTCTGTGTCTCTCTCTTTCTCTCTGCCCCTCCCTGGCTTGTGCTCTCTCTCTCTGTCTCAAAAATAAACATTTAAAAAATAAATAAATGAATAAACAAAAAAAAAATCTTTTTAATTAAAAAAAAGAAGAAGAAATTTGCCAGGGGAGGCAGTAAGGTCTTCAGCCACTTTAATGGTCATGACCTCCTTTCTCTTCAAGGTAACAGCTCACGTGTGTCTCTAACTCACGTGCTTGGGACAGACACACGCCGACGTGCAGGACGGGCCGTAAGCCCCTCCCTAGAGGCGGCCGATGTCCAGCTGACCACCGTCTCCTCTCGCCCCGGGCCGCCCCCCTCCCCGGCCCCTGCGGGTCCTACTGGCCTTGGCACCCCCGTCTGGGAACTCACGCTTTGGTTGAACATGTCTGTCTCGTGCCGCAGCTGTGTGTACTGGCAGAGGTGCTGTCGGATCATCTCCACCCTCTCCACCTCCAGCCGCTCGAGCTCCTGCGAGGAGACAAGGCAGCCCTGAGCATGCGCCCTCACGTCGGGGGACCTCCCCACCAGGCAGGTCCCAGCCCACCCTGCACGCCAGACCCCAGAACCGGTCTCAGCTGACCCTCTGGGGCCGAACTCGGCCAGCACGTAGGGGTGAGGGTGGAGGTGACGACGCACTTGCGGTGCCCAGCGCCGTGGGCGCGGAGAGCCTTTCACGAGTTCCTTAATTGTCCTCCATGATTTTAACACATAAGCGTCACTGGCCCAAAGCGCATGGCATTATGGGGGAGGAGCGGGGTGCGAAGCAGGGTCGAATCATGACTCTGCACCAGTGGAGACCCAGCCCTGGTTTCCCGAGGTGGAGAAAGAGATGTGTGCCTCCGACTCTTGGGACTCAGCCTCCTCTCGTCTGTCCGTTCCTAGTGCTGAGTTGCAGACCAGAGGGCCAGGCCAGGGGAAGCGGGAGGGTGGGGGTGGGGGAGGGGGGGACGGCCATTGTCAAATGGAAGAGGAAGGGTTTGCCCTTTGGTTTCTAGAGGGTTCCGCACCTTGGGAATTTAGGGGATCAGACTGCTATTCTGTGCCCAACTAGGTCACTGCCCAGGTGATTAACCGGGAAGGAGGGTAAATCAGGGGGGGCTTAATTAGGGGATTAACCAGCAGGAAAACTGGGTCACCGTCCCTGGGGGAGACCTCTAATCTGCTCTGGTGGGCTGACACGTGGGGAAGGCAGAGAGTCCTTCCGTCCTGTGCCGGATGGACGAGGGCAGCTTTGGGCGGCGGGGACAGTGCAACATATTCCTGGCACAAGACTTCCTTTCTCATCCAACCCAACGGGGGCCGGGGAGGGGATGTGTCCCTTCACGAGAACTACTTACGAAGGCAAAAGAAATGGGGTCTGATGCCTACTCTCTGTGCCCTTTGGGCAGGGGCCTCCCCTCCCATTCTCCCTAAATAGCTACCCCCTCCCCCAATCTCACTCCATACTTGCCTCTTACCTAGGACCTTCTAGAGGTGGGAAGGGTCATGCTTCCTACAACCCGGCTATTTGTCCTCGGAGGACAGCCAAGGAGGACACAGTAAGACTCAACTATTCCCTGTATCCACACAGCTAGGAAGTACCAAAGCAGGATCTAAATCCACACAGAATGGCTCAGAGTGGAGGTCTTGACCTTGGCGGTAGAGTGGATCTAATAACCACCTCCACGGCCACCTCCGCTCCAGCGTCCTCATGGCCGCCAACAGCACGGTCCCTGTGTGACACGCTTACACGTGTCCGCACACTTACCAGCGTGGTAGTCACCATCTCTTCAAACCACTTGGACTGGGCTTGGTTGTAGAGATCCACGCAGCGCATGAGGTCATCTCCTGGAAGACACCACCAGCCACCGTCACAGTCTGTCTCGTCCTCACCATGGCTGCCCTCTCGTGTCCCTGGCTGGTGGGAACCACCGGAGAGTGGACGGAGGGGAAGCAGAGCAAAGGAAAGGGGCCACCCAGCTTTGGAGTGTCCCTCTGAACTTGACCCCGGACACTAAGAATTCAGGACGAGGGTCTCTCAGCATGTGTGTATGTGTGTGGGGTGCTCCTAGGAAGCCCCCAATTCTATCATGAGCCCAAGAAATGCTTCCCTCTCTAAAGATGCCTGATTCATTGGACACTGGAGGGTCCGTCTTGGTTAAAATGTGTGTCACAGCAACCTGGAAGTCGCTAAGAGTTAGGAAAAGTGTGCAAATTGTGTGCACGTGCGTGTGTGTATATGCGCACCAGAATATCATTCTGAAACACAAAACGTGTCTGATGGTTCCTGGCTCATTCACGTGCAGTGACGGTACAAAGACGCACAGTGGCCGCTATACACCAGTTCCTGGACGGGGGTGACTGGGAAATAGAGAAAGGATGGGCGGGGCGGGGGGGCGGGGAATGAGCTCTTCCCACAGCATTGTATTTTGTAAAAGACAGACGCAAAACACAACTACTCAAACTCAAGCTTTCTGAAATGGCAGGTACATTTGAAACATTCTGTTAACTACAAAGGGCACACTCTTTATGTAGAAACAATCGCAAACATCGCTAAGTGTTCCACCACCAAGAACCGCATCGCCCGAAACATAATTCCTGGACCGGCGTCCCCATGCCCCGGGAGCTTGCTAGAAATGCAGATCTCAGGGCACACAGGAGACCCGCTGGACAGGAAACTGCATTTTCACAAGACCCTTGGGTGAGCCGGGCGCACGCCGCAGCTGGGGAAGTGTCACTGGAGCCCACTGCTATGTCCCCGTGTGGTTTTCTGATCACTGCAGGGTGCCAGAGACAGAACATTAGCATAGTCTTTCTTCACAATGGGAAAACCTCATGAGCCGACCCAAAGCCAACCAATGCACTCCTTACATCTAGTAATTCCAGCGAATTCAGTTATTCCTGTGATAATATCCCCTAGCTCATGTGGATTCTGAAATGGAGGTGAAAGAAAATCAGGGAGACTCGTGCCCAGTAACCCAGGGCCCAGCTCAGTCCCCCCTCTGCTGACCTATAGCACGAGCTGGGAGATGAGACCGAGTCACAGAACCCAATCAAGTGCTGTATATTCATTTTGCTCTTGATCTACGGCCAGTGAATGGGTCCCCCATCCCAAGAAGGAATGACCAGAAGAGAAGAAAGAGCAAGCTTCACTACAAACACATTTCCACCAGGAGCACCCCTCCCCCCTGACCCTCAAGGTCAAGGGGGTCAGTATGCCGCCTACAAACGTACAATGATACAGCTCCCAAAACCCTTTTTGTCCATCCCAATTTCAGGAACGTGCTTTGAGAAACTTCTCCAACACCAGGGAATAGGGCAGCTGCCGGAGACTGCGACTTCTCTCTGTGTAGCCAGTCCAAGGGTACCCTTCTGAACAAAGTGAGTGAAAAAACGTGGATTCTGGAACCAGAGCTTGTGGGCCGTCATCCCAGCATAGGAGCTGTGGGAACTTGGACAAGTCCGTTAACCTGCCTGAGCCTCAGTTTCCTCATCTATAAAATGGGGGTGACGAGAGTGCCTTCACAGAGTCATGTGGACAGCTGATAAAGTCAATACCTGTCGAGTGCTCGGGTTGGACGCTGGCGGAGTTCGTGGGACAGGCACGTGAGCTAAGGGGGTGCTGATGACAAATGAGATCAAGCAGGACCCACATGCGCTTCCTGCCAGCAGCCTTGGGAAGGCTGAGGGAGGGAAGGGAAAGAAAGGAGAGAAGAAAAGCAGGTGTCTTCCAGGTAACGGGCTGTCCAAGAAAATGGAGCCGAGTAGCCTTTGGAAGAAAAGACGGTGGGCTTCTGGGCCACGGAGCTCCATGACTGTGATCCTGGGGGAATGTCTAGCACCTGTCTGTCATCTGCCTTCTCACGCGTAAAGAGCATAGAAAATACTTCCCAGCAGGACTGGGGGGTTCAATGCAGAGGCTCCTGATGCACAGGCACCTGGCCCACGGAAAAGGTTTCGGAAAGGCAGACTTTCTCACGGTCAAATCCAAGGTCAAGGACAAGTCGCTTCCACCACAAAGTAATTCCAAACCATAGAGATATTATCTGACGGCAATGCACCCAACAGCAACACAGCAAGACCAGAGAGCAAAGGTAACCAAGCCCCCAGTTTATGAAAATTAACATTTTCTAAATCTGGCTTCAATTTAGTACAAATAGAAAATCACAAGATTCATCTAGAATACAAGAGAAAGGAAAACACGACAAATCAGGACTTGAGGAACATGGTCACGCGTGGTGGTGTGAGGAAAAAGAAAACACCATTGGGTCAAATATTTACGTATTTATTTATTTATTTTATTTTATTTTTTTTTATATTTTATTTATTTCTAGGAGAGAGAGAGAGAGACAGCGTGAGCAGGGGAGGGTCAGAGAGAGAGGGAGTCACAGACTCTGAAACAGGCTCCAGGCTCTGAGCTGGCAGTCAGCACAGAGCCCGACGCGGGGCTCGAACCCACGAACCGCGAGGTCATGACCTGAGCGAAAGTCGGACGCTCAACCGACTAAGCCACCCGGGCGCCCCTTACGTATTTATTTTTTAAACCTGGGGTCAAAGGAGGAAAAAAGTGATTAAAAAATATTCAGAAGGGAAAGGTCTTTCTAAGTCAGTCACAAAACCCAGAACTTACAAGGGAGACCACTGTATGAAAAAACTCAACAAGAGGGGCGCCTGGGTGGCTTAGTCGGTTAAGCGTCCGACTTTCGCTTAGGTCATGATCTCGTGGTTCGTGGGTTTGAGCCCCGCGTCGGGCTCTGTGCTGACTGCCAGCTCAGAGCCTGGAGCCTATTTCAGAGTCTGTATCTCCCTCTCTCTCTGACCCTCCTCTGCTCACGCTGTCTCTCTCTCTCTCTCTCTCCTAAAAATAAATAAAAGTTTAAAAAAAATTTACTAAAAAAAAGAAAAAACTCAACAAGCAAGCAAGCCAGAGAGAGAGAGGAAAAGAAAGAAATACAAAGGACAAAATTAAATGATCGATGTCAACCTAGGAAAAAGATTTCCAATTCAAACCACAGAAGGTTCATTTTCCTGACACAGAAACATAATTCTTATCAATCCATCTGTCAGAAGAAGACCGGCCACATCGACAAGAAACTGGGGACAGGACAAGAGTTCTTTAGTTCTTTTCTTTAGACGAAAAAAAGTCACACATGACATCTACAAGTCTATTTGTAAAAGACTCAGATTCACTCAGAAAGGACTGAATCAGCCACACAATATGGTTGGTCAGTAGACAGCTCTGATGTCCAAAGTCTGAGTGCACACAGTGCTGACCAGAGTTTAGGGAACGGGCATCCTCACGTTAGAAGTGACGTGCAAACCTCTCCGGAAAGCCATCTGGAGCCACCTATCCAAATGAACACAGCGCTTTGACCCAGAAAGTCCACATCTACGTTCTACCTGCAGACTGAGTCTCACATGCACGCAGACACCGGGTCACTAGAAGCCCTCACTGCCGGTGACAAAACGTCCTCAAACAATCTGTATGCACTACAAACGTCTAGCAGGGGAAATCGTGAAATAAATTCGGGTCCAATCACACACTCGGCACACTATTCAGCCATGTAAGAAGTCTGATGTACAGGGGCAGCTGGGCGGCTCAGTCGGTCAAGTGTCCGACTTCGGCTCAGGTCATGATCTCACGGTTCGTGAGTTCGAGCCCCGCGTCAGGTTCTGTGCCGGAGCCTGCTCCAGATTCTGTGTGTTTCTCTCTCTCTTTTCCTCTCCCCCACCTACCCCCTTCAAAAATAAACATTTAACAATTTTTATTTTAAATTCATTAGGAAGCGTGGATGGTCATTGTATCTAGTGAATTAAATTTTATGTTCTTAGGTGCCGATTACAATTCTTTTGTCAAGCAGCGATAGAACTTCATTTTTAAAATAACTTAATAAATTGAACGAATTTAAATAGTCTCTCCCTGCCCTGGGTTTCCCTCTCAATCCCCAGTTAAGTACATTACACCTTCTATATCTGGATCCAATTACCACTATGCACTGTAAGATCTTTCTATCAAATGCTGTGTTTATATTACACCACTTTGCTATCCACTCTTTCTACGCCCCGGTGTCTCACGACGTCCGGACCGTGGCTTTGTTCTCTGATGAATGAACTGTCCTACGTTCACCAGCAGTCGAGGTGGGAAGGACGCAGAAGCCATCTGATCCAAACCCTAATGACCGCACAGGCTCTAATCCCAGAGGGCAATCTTCATTGTCCTTGCATGCAGTTACACTTGCCGTCTCTAGGGGGCGCCTGGGTGGCTCAGTCGGTTAAGCAACCCATCCAGGTCATGATCTCACGGTTCGTGGGTTCAGGGCCCCACATCGGGCTCTGTGCTGACAGCTCGGAGCCTGGAGCTGCTTCAGATTCTGTGTCTCCCTCTCTCTCTCTGCCCCTCCCCCGCTCACACTGTCTCTCTCAAAAATAAACATTTAAAATTTTTTTTTAAAAATCAACTTTGGCTTTCTGAAGAAATATTTACTGTTTTTTTACTGATTTTCCTTCTTCTTGTGCATCGGCTAGTTTTTACCACAAGGTGGAAGCAGACACCGACTCACTGGGGGAATCTTTGTGAGAACTGGAAACCTGGTTAATCACGGAACAAGTTCTGGGACTCTGTTCTGGGGCAGGAACCTCGATCTCCCCATGGACGAGCCCTTGGGATTCGCTCCCTGGGAGGTGGGCTCTCTACTTGTGCTCCGGGCTCCTGTGTCCCGGCCCCCACCCCAGCCTGGCCCGGTGGGAGGCAGCTCCTGGGGCACCCCTTTCCGTGCGGCCAAGGCCGGGGATGCCCGGAGAGGAGGGTGCGGGGCTCGCTCTCACCAGCCTGCGTGGACTTCCTCCGCGCCTTCTTGATGTCTTCCTCCGTCTTGTTGCTCAGCTTGATCTCCAGCTGCTGGGTCTTCATCTCCAGGTCTCTCTGCCTCTCCGTGAGGGCCTTCCGGGCCTGGGGTCCAAAGACACAGGGAGGCTGCTCGCAGGGCCCCACCCCCACTTGCTGGGAAGAGCCCTCTCTTCCCCCTCCCCCCCACCCCTCCCATGCTGGTGCTTTTCCCCAGCAATGCTTAGTGCACAGCAGCACCAGCCACCCCATTCGGGGGCTGGATGCGTCCATGGGTGGCGGCAGCTGGCCGGGTCCCGGGTGCCCCCAGGAGCCCGCATCCCTTACGCTGCACCCCTCCCCAGGGCGCTGGGGTCAGAGCTCCCAGACCTCGGGCAGGGGAGTGATGCATTCAGGCGGGAATCAGCCCCGTGAGGCCCAGAGAAGGGGCCACAGGGGGCCAGCACCCGTGCCAGCAGGGCGCCCCACAAAAGCACGGTGGCCCGAGCGAGGCCCCCGTACCTCCTACCTGCCCTCTGGCTGGGACGGGGCTGGAAGCTGGCACTCCCCGATCCCACCACGTGGGGACAAGGGTCTCCCCTCGGCACAGGGACCCCCCCCCCCAGCAGGTCCCGGCTCCCGGCTGCTCACCTTCTCCACTGCCGCGTAACGGCTGGCGAGCTGCTTGCGGAGGTCGGCGATGTGGTGGTCACACTTCTTCATGTCCTTCTTGAAGTTCTCCCGGAAATTCATCAGGGGCTTCTCGACCTCGCTGTGAAGCTGCGGAGGGGAGGAGGGGGAGGCGCTCAGGACCCCAGGGCGGCAGCCCCGAGGGGAGACGGGGCGCTCTCCCCAAATCCGCAGGGGACGGTGGACTCGGGGGCAGTGGAGGCAGAGACCAGGGGCCACGCGTCAGGGCTCCGGTGAGAGGAGGTCACCTGGCTGGCGAGGCCCTAGGGTTCACACCAATGGACTGAGCCGTCGGTTAGTGTCCAAGGCTTTCCGGGACCTTCGTCGGCTGCTTTCCCACCCGCCCCCAGACTCCTACAGCTTCCCGTTGGCTTTTGCTCAAGGTCCATCTGTCACCTGTCCTTTCCCAACTGGGAGCTTCCTGGGGGAAGAAGCCACATGCCCATCTCTGTGTCCCTAAGCGCTTCACACAGCGACTGCCACAAGGGCGCCGTTTCAGGAGACGAGCTCAGGTCAGTTCTCTTCGTTGAACACCTGCTCCGAGCCAGGCGCCAAGCCCCCAAGGGTGGTGTGGACACAGTTCAGAGCCCGAGGGCACCCTGGTGGGGGCGGCTCAGGCCGTGCCCAGGAAGGCTTTCCTCGCCCCTCCTGCCTGCCTGGGGACAGGTGCACAGACCCTCCCGCCGGAGGGGGCCGGCCTGAGAGGCGCCGAGTGGCGTGGGCATTTCAAGCTTCTCCTGTCTCTTATGCCTTCCCTTTGCCTGACTCCCCTCCCTTTTTCAGGAAAGCTTTTACTTAATTTTTTTTTTTTTTTGGTGTGAATGTAGGTTGTATTTGATGCTAAAACAGATTATCGTGGTCCTGCAGCAGCCAGAGGTGATCAGCCCAGCGCCCAGAGGCTGCATCTGCAGGGTTGGGTCAGAGCCGGTGAGGGCTGGGGCCCCTTTACCACGTGGGGGAGTGATAAATCTTCAGCACTCAATGCCTGGGGCACAGGTTGACACCTTTGCTGTCAGATGACCTTCAAAGGCTAAGAGCTCCCCCCTCCCCACCCCCTGCTGTGAGTTGTAAAGGCCTCCGAAGAATCTCTGAGCCCCTGGCAGTAGCCTTGCTTAGGAAAACACCCCCACCTGGTGGCGGCCTGTGCCAAGGACACGCAGAGCCCTTTCCCATTCGGATCAGAGCTGCTGCAGGACCCTGACTGGGGGTCTGAGGGATAACTCAGCCTGCTGACTCGGTAACTCTGGGGTCTCTTTCCCAGGGCCTAGGATGGGAGCCGATTTCCAGACTTCCATGTGTCCAGAAGCGACACCCCGAGGGTCTTTTCAACATTCAGGATTCCTGGGCTCCAGGCCCCCAGGTTCTGTGGTCTGGGGGAGAGGCCCAAGAACCTGCCAATACACCAAAATGTGTTCCTCAGACTTCAAAGCACTTTCTGGAGGGACGCCTGGGGGGCTCAGTCAGTTAAGCGTCCGACTTCGGCTCAGGTCATATCTCATGGTTGGTGGGTTCGAGCCCCACATCAAGCTCTGTGCTGACAGCTCAGAGCCTGGAGCCTGCTTTGGATTCTGTGTCTTCCCCCCTCTCTGACCCTCCTCTGCTCACGCTGTCTCTCTCTCTCTCAGAAATAAATAAAATATTTTTTAAAAAGATAAAAAAACAACTCTCTGGAAACAAGGTTGTCATACGTATGCAATCTCATAGAGACCCACGGATTCTCCCTTATTTTAAGTGCTTTTAAAAAAACACTTTTTTTCAGGGCACCTGGGTGGCTCAGTCAGTTAAGCATCTGATTCTTGATGTCAGCTCAGGTCACAATCTCACGGTTCGTGGGATCGAGCCCTGCGTCAGGCTCTGCACAGACAGTGTGAAGCCTGCTTGGAATTCTCTCTCTCTCTCTCTCTCTCTCTCTCTCTCTCTGCCCCTCCCTCAGTCTCTCTCTCTCTCTCTCAAAATAAATAAATAAATACTAAAAAGGAAAAGACTAATTTTTTCTTTAACAGCTCTGGCTGGGTGTCCTGTTCTATTCATTTTTTTTTTTTT